TTTTTTTTTTCTATTGAGTTATATGAGGTCTTTATATATTTTGGATACCAGTCCCTTATCACATATTTTGATTCAGTAGATTGTTTTTCCATTTTGTTGATGGTTTTCTTTGCTATGAAGAAGCCTTTTAGTTTGAGGTAGTTCTACTTATTTTTGCTTTTGGTATCAGATTTTAAAAAATCATTGCCAAGACCTATGTCAAGGAGCTTACCACCTGTGTTTTCTTCTAGGAGTTTCATGGTTTCAGGACTTCCATTTAAGTCTTTAATCCATTTTGAGTTAATTTTGGGGTATGGTGTAAAGTAGGGGTCCAGTTTCTTTCTTTCTTTTTTTTTTTGCATGTGGCTGTCCAGTTTTCCCAACACTATTTGTTGCAGAGGCTGTCCTTCTTTCCCTCGTTGTATATTCTTGATTCTCTTGTTGTAAATTAACTGACCCATGTAAGCATGGATTTATGTCTGGGCCCTCTATTCTGTTCCATTGATCTACATGTTTTGATGCCAATCTCACATTGTTTTTGTTACTATAGCTTTGTAATTTAGTTTGAAATCAGGGACCAGGACAGGTTTTAACTTTCTGTCTTCTGGGTGTTTCTTAGATCTAGAGAAAAGAAAATGTCAATTACTTTAAAGATGGCATTGTTTGGTGTGTGGTGGTGTTGATACAAGTAGTTTACTATTTTGAGAGCATTTGGTGCAACAGTTCCACAGTGGATCAATTACACTCAAGGGTGGGCTTGGTTTGCTAATAGAGTGAGCTCGGGCCCTGGTGGTTCACAGCACTACTCTGAGTTCATCTATATATGTTTCCATACCCCTCGTTGTGCCAGGAGCATTACAATGGCAGAGAATGAAACCCAGTCATACGTGTATCCCCATATCTAATTTAGAACCTAGCACAAAATAATCATGCAGCATGTTGTAAAGAAGAGGAGAAAGGAACACTCTACCTAGTTTATTTCCCTTGTTCTCCTCTCTCTGAATTTTTATCAAAAATGAGATAATTTGGGGCACCTGGGTGGCTCAGTTCATTGAACGTCTGACTTTGGCTCGGGTCATGAGCTCATGGGTTCATGAGTTTGAGCCCTGTATCAGGCTCACCACTGTCAACACAGAGCCACATGTCTCTGCCTCTCCCCAATTCTCACTCTTTCTCTCTGAAAAAAAAAAAAAAAAAAAAAAGTTGACCTAATGATGCAATGCTAGAATTCCTGGCCTTACAGCTGGAAGCTTACATGAAAATATCAAGAAGAGTTATTTGATGGAGCTTGCGGCCAAAAATACCCATACTGTTTATTCCTGAAGGTTCATCTTTTTGGATTTCCAGAGTTTTCTGTTTTTACGAGAACTTACTAAAATGCCGATAGCCCAGGACGAGCTAGGATATTGTCTGTTGTGTTCACCATCGTACCATGTCATCAAAGACATTGCTTTTCATTTTATATTCATGGTCAGACCAGTGCTTAGAATGCAATAGGAGTTCAGGATAGTTGCGTTGAAGAAATGACTTTCTTGTACCAGCTCTGGTCTCTGCTGGCTGTTGCTTTAAAGGGCCTGATGGTGTTTCAGCACTAGATTAGCAGTGTCCGCCTGCACAGTCAGGCAAAGTCAGGGCTTTTGTAACATTTTCTTCCTACCTTAGCTGTCAGCTAACACTTTAGACAGTTGGCAACAAAGAGGAAGACTGTGGTACTAGAAGGTGGGAAAGCGTACTGACGAGCAGGACTAAAAGGGCTCTGAGATGGAAACGAGAATCCTGGAGAACAGATTCTGCAGCTTCTATTTTGGCTGACTACCTTGGTGGAAAGGGAGAATTTCAAGCTTTTCTTATTTGCCAGTTTTTTGTTTGTTTGTTTGTTTTAGTTCTCCCACAAATTAGAAGGGTAGGTTGTACAATGCAAATAGTGTTTTAACATTTTAGTAATTGAATGAAGGCAGTGATGCACAACCACAAGGTCTTCACATTTATTTACTGAGATTGTGCATGCCCTGTGTTAATTTCACACTCTTTGCAAATATATTCCTCCTTGCATTAGAGAGAGACAAAATGCCTTGTTGAGGCTCAGAGATAAAGGAGTGATGTTAAAGAACAAAGAAACGGATTTATAATTCCCTGTCCTCAGAGCCTCATATCTTTCTCTGGTTAGGAAGCAGGTGCTGTCATAATTTTTTCTAAAGCCAGATTATCTCAACGCTTTGTGTCCAAAATCAGAATGGGGATATTTGCAGGTTTTTTTTTTTTTTAATTAAGAGCTTGAAGAGAATTTGAGGGGTAGAGGAGACATTGTATGGCATAAACACAAAGGTTCTTATACTTCTCCTCACTCAAAGTTACAATATGAATGTTATCACTGCTGTCTGAAACCCCACGAATTTGCATTTGGAATGGGGTATGCTTTGTTGCATTCGTGAAGGGCAGTTTCTTGTCACATTGCCACACGTGCAGTCTGAGGTACGAGAACTCAGTGCTTCACTTGTTCTTCCTTCCCACCTTCCTGATCAATGGAGGCAGCCCACGGCCTCATGCAAGAATCATTCGTTCATTCACTCAACAAATATTTAGCCCTGGGTCAGCACTCAAGTTACAAAATCAGCTAATGGCATTTGTTTCAAGTCGTCATGGCGGGTTATTGGGAAAAGTTTTCAATTAGCAATAATCGCGCCTTGGATAAACCTCAGTGGCTACGATACTGCCACTGTGCAAAGCTTAATGGCCTTTGTTTCTAAAAGCATCTGTCTCAGTCTGGGTTTCTTGTAAAATAGACCCTGACCCAGAGACTTGGGTTCAGGTAGTTTTTTGGGAGAGACACTTCCTGGAAACACAAAGAAGAGGAAAAAGTGAGACAGGAAAGGACAAAAAGTTACAAGGTTGACATAAAATAGCTGTAGGCAGTGGGGCCGAATTCTCCTGGGGAACCTCTGGGAAACATCAGAGCGAAGGCTGGGGCATTTCTTTATCCATTTATCTTGATCGTGCCTGCAAATCTCCTGTGGTGCCAAAGAGAAGACTCGGGGAGAGGATAAGAGACTGTGATTCCTGAGTTGGTGTATTGTCAGGGACTGTCGAACTTAGAGAGCCAAGGACATATGGGGCGGTGCATCACTAGCACTGACTACCAAATCCTTGCCTTCTCTACTAGGTTCATTTTGGAACTAACAAACTTAAGACTGCGGTATAGGTCAGTGCCACCATATGTGGTTGTGTAGGATGTGCACTGTACAACTCCAGGGGTTGTCACTCATATAGAATGCAGCGTAACTTTTGTCCCCCAGAGCTGGGCAATGAAAAAACTCTGTAAGACATTCACATGAATTACAGTGTAACTGGTATCCCTTGGAACCTGTAGTGCACAATCTGGAAAGCCGTGCACGTGGTTTCTCTTATAAGAACATCTTCCTGTGAAGGGTAGATATTATTTTTGAGATCGAAAAAATTAGTATAGGGGCACCTGGGTGGCTCAGTCGGTTGAGCATCTGACTTCAGCTCAGGTCATGATCTCGCGTCCGTGAGTTCGAGCCCCGTGTCGGGCTCTGGGCTGATGGCTCAGAGCCTGGAGCCTGCTTCCGATTCTGTGTCTCCCTCTCTTTCTGCCCCTCCCCTGCTCATGCTCTGTCTCTCTCTGTCTCAAAAATAAATAAATGTTAAAAAAAAATTAGTATAAAGCATTTCTGGTTTTTGTTTGTTTATTTGTTTGTTTGTTTTAAACATTTCTGAATAAAATAGACTTCAGTTAACATATTTGCAGCAGCCCAGCAGTAGTTACAGGTTCTAAATGGCATTTAGGCTCCAGAGACCCCCGTAGGCTTTAAATTAACACCGTTTGCCTAGTTGTTTAGGTGGACGGATATAGGACCACATGCAGAGCAGCTGTGCCTCATTGGGAAGGCCAACTGCTACTCAGATTCCCAGCTCTGTGACCTTCCTCACCTACACAGGACATGTACAGCTGCCACACGTACAAGATATGAGTGTGTCCCCTTAGCACAGAGGGGCTGCAGCCTCAGTTTCCCACCACTCCCTGAGACCACGCTAGTCTAGTTCAAGGCTCTTCCATTCGCAGTGTGGTCCCCACAGTTAGAGGTTTTACTGTAAACGAGGCAGATATAACCTTCCCTATTGTCTCTTAATTTGTCGTTTGTAATGAGACAGTTCTATCGGAAAATAGTCTCTGAATTTGTTTTAAAGGCACATCTGGGTTCAGCCCAGGGCCTGATGTTGACATTTCACTCGAAATACTCTCCATGATTCTTTGATGAATGAGAACATAGTGCATACACAACAATTCCTCTAATCTCTAAATTCTTGCCCAAGGCAATTGGCATATGTTGTGAATTTCCATGTAAATAAATCCATAGTTAAGACCAAGTTGTAAAAAAAATTACAAACAAGTCTCATTGTTAATTATAGAGTATTCGAAAAGAAGATAAACACACAATATGGATTTTAGAAATATATTTCTCAACTTAATCTTAAATCTTGATCACAAGTCCTGTCCCAATTTTCTTGTTCACCTAAGCTGTCTTTTCGACTATTTTATTTTATTTTAAAAAGGTGTATTTATTTATTATGAGAGAGACAGAGACAGCATGAGTGGGTGAGAGGCAGAAGAGGGAGAGAGAGAATCCCAAGCAGGCTCTGAGATGCCAGTGCAGAGCCCTACACCCCTGAAACATGAGGTCATGACCTGAGCCGATACCAAGAGTCAGATGTTTAACCTACTGAGCCACCCAGGAGCCCCAGAGGACTATTTTAGAAGTTGAGTAGGAACAGAGGCAGAAAAGAAGGGCACAATAGATCACCTACTACTGCCATTGATCAGTTGTTCCACGACAGAAGTAGTTCTACCTGGTTTTCATGAACTAAAAATTCATTCTTTGTAGGCGTGAAGTAAGCATACTATGGGTGTTTGGTTAAGCACAGGATTCTCTGAGCACTTACTGAGGATAACTTACATATCGCATGGGAAAAGACTATAATTGAAACACTATGGAAACATTACTTCTAAGGGATTTGTTAAAGGTATTCTTAGATTTTTGAGAGTTATTTTAAATCATTCTTTTCCCAGGGGCGCCTGGGTGGCTCAGCTGGTTGAGCATCCAACTTCAGCTCAGGTTATGATTTCGTGGTTTGTGCGTTCATGCCCCGCGTCCGGCTCTGTGCTGACATCTCAGAGCCTGGAACCTGCTTCAGATTCTGTGTCTCCCTCTCTCTCTGCCCCTACCCCACTCATGCTCTGTCTGCCTCTCTCTCAGAATAAATAAACATTAAAAAAATTGTTTTAAATCACTCTTTCCCCAGATTTACTATGACAAAAACCTAGGTTTTTCTTTGATCTTCTCATTTCTGCAAGCAACATATGATGTCATGGATGACCATCATGTCTTTTAAAGTTTTTTTTTTAATGTTTATTTTATTTATTTTGAGGGGGGCGGGAAATGAGTAGAGGAGGGGCAGAAAGAGGGAGCTTGAACTCAACAAACGGAGATCATGACCTGAGCAAAAATCAAGAGTCGGGCACTTAACCAACTAAGCCACTGAGGCATCCTGACCGTCACGGCTTTTAAAAGAGAGGTGCTCGTCTGCTGTTGTGAAATGGCCAACCTATTGTCCACAATGACACTACAGAACTAGTTTCTCATCCCCCTGATTGGATTCACCTGTGTTTTTGAGCGAACTCATTTCTTGAGAGGAAATCATGGCAGGCCATTGGTAGTGAACTCTGGGAGAAGCAGGGATCAGGGAAATCAGCATAAAGATTGCTCCATGGGTTCTACATGCTCTCTTCTTGCCAGCAACACATACTCCAAATTGACATCCTTCATTTTCCTACTATCTTCCACGAAGAATAGTTCTCGGGGGCAGGGCAAGAGGAGAAGAGGATCCTGAAGATTTCTTTTTTTTTTTTTTCAACGTTTATTTATTTTTGGGACAGAGAGAGACAGAGCATGACGGGGAGGGGCGGAGGGAGACAGAATCGGAAACAGGCTCCAGGCTCCCAGCTTTCAGCCCAGAGCCTGACGCGGGTCAGAACTCACACTCAGACCGATCGACTGGCTGAAGTCGTGACCTAACTGACTGAGCGCTTACAGCCTCGCTCTGAAGATTTCAATAGCGTTACTAATCCTCCAGTATTGGTCTCCAGGACCGTTTGGTGCCCACTGCCCCTTCTCAATGCACATTAGCCTTGTTACAGTACTGAAGATGCACTTGGGTCAGACATTTCCTTAACTCCCTTCCCTCATTTCTCTCTCCTTTCTTCCCTTCATTCCAACGTTTGAGCTCAACTGTGTATCTGGCACTGAGTACACAGTTGCGGACTTGATAAACATTGTCCTCATGTCAATGGATTTTATAATCTCGTGTGGGAGAAAGGTGTTAAGTGAGCACACAAATATAGGATTACAAGTTATGACAAGTGCTGGGGAAAAAGTATGACACTCTGGGAGAAAACTGGTGGGAGCTGGGTGACGTGAAGAGAAGACAGCCTCTAAGGAAACCTCATTAACTGAGCCCTCATTGAAGGTCACATGAGAAGGAGAAATGTAGGCATGGGGGTTAGGCATGTGCGAAGGCCCTGAGACTGAAGATACGAACAGGATCAACTCATCTGAGGCACCAAAAGCCCTCAGGGTTGCTAAAGCTTCATTAGCAAAGAAAATGGACTGGCAGGCCATGAAGTTGAAGCACTAGCTAGAGGCCAGATCATATAGGCTAAAGGGAAAAATAGAAAATGTCTGCCCAGAAATACAACTTGGAAGAGGAAAAAAGTAAACATTAACAAAGGATGTGGGACTGCATTTGAGCGACACATTACTCTGCAGGTAGTACTGTGTTCTTTTGTAATTATTTAGGGGAACTGTGGCCGTTTTGCAATGTTAGCAGCATTGAACTTGAGAAATGAATGACAAAGGTATAAGCTCCCTTTTTTCAAGATCCTTTGAACTCTAAGCAGGTTCACCTGAGAAAGATCAAAAAGATTGCTGTTTGGCCTGTAGCATTAAGCCTAGAATGTTCCTTTAGGACACATGCTGCTAGCTCCAAAGAATAAAAGGTTGTGCCCTTTTGAACACAGGACTGTTGTTTGTTTGGCAGAAGGTAACGAAGAAAAAGACCACGGTGCCACAGAGCTGTTTGAAAAGCTTGCAATGAGGAAGGTATAAATTGGTAAACTGAGTCGAGATAGGTATGTGAGGAGAGAGTTGGTGAATGGAAATTTGAAACAATAGATATTATTTAAAAAATTTTTTAATGTTTATTTGTTCTTGAGAGAGAGAGTACGCGCGCGAGTGGGGGAGGGGCAGAGAGAGAGGGAGCCACAGAATTCAAAGCAGGCTCCAGGCTCTGCGCTGTCAGCACAGAGCCCGACAGGGGGCTCAAACTCACAAATCGTGATTTCATGACCTGAGTGGAAGTCGGACACTTAACCTACCGACCCACCCAGGTGCCCCAATAGTATTCTTTAAAAATTTCCCGGGGCGCCTGGGTGGCGCAGTCGGTTAAGCGTCCGACTTCAGCCAGGTCACGATCTCGCGGTTCGTGAGTTCGAGCCCCGCGTCGGGCTCTGGGCTGATGGCTCGGAGCCTGGAGCCTGTTTCCGATTCTGTGTCTCCCTCTCTCTCTGCCCCTCCCCTGTTCATGCTGTGTCTCTCTCTGTCCCAAAAATAAATAAAAACGTTGAAAAAAAAATTTAAAAATTTCCCAGTGAAT